TCTGCTTAAGAAACACAACAAGATTGTCCATATGGTGGTGCACAACATTCAAAGTGAATCTTAGAATGAGATTCAAGGAAAGTTAAATGTCTAGGAGAAATTTGCACTCCTAGATGGGCGTGAAACACAAAGGGTGGAATTTTAGTTGGAATCCACGTGGAAGAAGTTGAAAATTGGGACAATTGCTATGAAATGGGTGTGGTTGTGAAAGGGGATGTTTCTAGATCCCTGACTAAATGCAAGAAAAAAATGAGAATTAATACAGCAAGAGAGACAAATGGAAATTTAGTTGGAAAGAATAGAACTTCTTCAAGGTAGGCATTCCTGAAAGAGAAATAGCAGTGTGTTAAACACTAATACAAAAATGAAATACTGTGGATGCCAAAAGTTTGAAAATAAAACAGAAATGCTGGAAATATCACCAGTTCCAGCAGCATCCAGGGTGATGAACACTGACTTAAAATTTCAGGTCCATGATCTTTATTTAAGATTATCAACATCTGCTTAATTATAACTTTGTATTGAGTGAAGACCTATCTGCATTTGAGGTTCCACAATGAAATGGAACCACTTGCTCTGCGGTTAACTGAGGAGGAGCTTCACTGTGAGTTGGTTCAGTACCCAGAGGGTAGAGGGACATTACTGGAGGTGGAGCAGGAGCTGCAGCAAGCTCAGCAGCTATATGTAGCTCCATGGTGCTGAGGGCAAGGCTGAGGGCCAGGAGGGTGAACACAGGCCCTAAAGGCAGACGGTGAGCATCCTGTACCTCCTTGAGCAGAGTATTTCTGAAGGCTGCACCCATTGCAGAAGTTGGCTACGGATCTGTGTGCCCTTTTGGAGGAGGACCTTCAAGCAGAATGAGAGGGTGGACACCCATTCCCAAAGGTGGTGAAGGTGTTGATCGTTCTTATGAATGTTATTGCGGCAGATCATTCTAGGATGGCTGCTGATGTCTGTTGTATCCTATTATTTGCCATTCACAATACATCATTCAGGTGACAGGTATTTTGAATGCAAGGGCAGTGGCTTTATCATGTTCCAAATTAATGTTGCAGGTAGGGCCAGAGGACAGTCAGTTTCATCTCCAATTCAGGATTCTCTTGGGGGCAGGACACGAGAGCCTGCACCAATATGGCCACCAATGGACCATCAGACAAGCCAACTCCTTTTGTGAACAGGAAGGGGTTTCACTCCCTAAATGCAACTGGTATGTGACCACCATGAAAGGATCCATGACTTCTTCCTATTGAGGCAGTGTCAGTGTTTCACTGTTCAGGACACTGCACAGCCTCTATAGATGGCTTCTACTGACCAAAGAAGAATTTGTTGAAGACATGGTTAGTGTCACCAGTGCGGCACCACACCACAGAGTTCTATGAGCAATACAAGCACAGCTATCTGAAAATCAATGCAACTGCTGAGCAGATCATAGGTTTGTACAAAATTTAGTTGTGGTGCCTTGAACAACTTGGAGATACCCTCCAAAATGCACCTTGTCAATACAGAAGGAGTGAATCTGGTGCTGCAAGAGGTTGATGAGCATTCTGTCTTTGGAAGAGGATGCATAAAGAAGATCAGCTGGCCGAGGAGACAGTGGTACCATTGACAAACCTACCAAGCAGGCTGAGGTGACTCCCTCATCTAGTTATGATACACCCGTACGTCAGTTTTTAGACTGCTGTTTTTTTGCATCCAGACCCTTTAGGCAGTAGGTGTGGATGTCCAGAAAGCCCATGATAACTTTAAGATGTCCTTGATCAAAGCAGTCCTAAGCTCCTCCTAATGTAACACTGCGAACCAACACAATCGAGGATTTCACTTACAAGCCACTTTACCTAGTCAATGTGCATTTCACTAGAATAAACACTTTCAATGCAATAAAAACATGTTACAGTCTAATAAAATAATGCAGTCAAGTGAACCCCATTGTGCAACTCATTAACTTTCTGCCTTCTCTTCTCTACTACAGTTACTGCTCTGTTGGAACATATCTAATGGTAACCTACTTGTTGTTTTGCTCCAATGAATTAGATGACCATGGCACATGCCCTCTGGGTTCTGGTGCTTGTGAAAGACTGCACATCTGTACCTATGTGGGACAGTCTTAGTCACAAGCAGGGTGTGTTTCTACAGAATTGGGGGTTGGGGCTGTACCTTGGGCATAGATTCTATTGTTATCGTCATGCTTTCTCTCTACCCTCTCAGATCCATCTGCACTTCCCTTCTAACCTCAGTGCCGCAGCACTTGGATGTGTTTCTATGCATCTCTGAGCCATGACTGTAACCAGTGATCAATACTGCTCAAAGGTGAAGGCATGCTGTGGAGATAATGGTACAGTTGTTTCTTTAACCCATTGACCTGTCACATATAGTTTTCCATGAAGAAGAACAATTGATCAATGAACTAATGAGTTCATATGCCTAAGTCATGCTGCATTCATGGAATGGACTTCACCATCTCCTAAGCAAGACTCCACATTCCCTCAGGGAACTCTTGATAGATAGCTATATCCTGTACTCTTCCAGCAGCATCAGCTTTGTTGATAATCTGAGGTTCAGCGGCTATGTGGCGCTCAGCAATTGCTGAAGCTGTCCTCAAGCCTCTGATTGAGACTGCCCACAATTGTTACTGCCTCCCTCAGCTGCTGCTTGCATATGATATGCAGCTTACCTTGTGCTACCAACTATATTCAGAAAGGAGGTGAGTGTATCTACACTGGTAGAGGGTGTGCTTGACTGAAGGGATGGTGCATTTTCACAGTGTGGTTCCTCCTCTGAGATCTGCGATACCTCCTCATGTCACTGCTGATGTGGCTTTGGCATTGTTCCTGCAGGAAAGTGGACTTAGTGAAATACCTATGAACCAGTGGTTTCACCCATTACATGGTTCTGTGCTTCAAATGTTCACTTGCAAAGACAAAGGTATTAACAAGGTCAAGCTGTGATGCAACTGCGTGGCATACAAATGAAGTTTTCATTTTCTCTCTCATCCATCTTCATTTTCTGTTGCATCAATACCATGATGCTCAGGAAGCCTACACAATGCCTAGTTTGACTCCTCTCCCGCCTGTTAAAGGCTTTCTTCTTTTGTAATGAGTCAAACAGGAGTGTTAAAAACATGAAACTTTCAGTGTGAAAGTCACAAGAACTTCACTTTTGGACGGGGAATATAAGAACAGCACTTTAAGTCTGCATGTGAGTCCTGTGTGCATGAATGCTTATCTGAAGGGATCAGATGAGACATTCCTCTGTATTGCTGTCTTTTTGTGCAGAGAATTGGTAATGCAGTGAAAGAGTGCGTTATGACTTCCAGCTGAGAATTGCAGTGCACAAGAGGGTATTGAAGGACTTCCTGAACTGTACCCAGGTGTCAGTGACCCCACCATGGCTGCTGACCTCTTCAATTAACTCCAGTAAGGCCTCTCGGTCATGCTGTTGCCCTCCTGTTCCTGTCCTAAAGAATATCTGTCTTTGTGCTGTCACTACTGTGAACTTCAGAAGCGTGTCATTGATTCTCAGTGCAGATGTTCCATGAATGTATCTGTCTTCTGATAAATTTCTTGCTGAAAGAAATTTTCTTCCTTGTCTGAGTGCAGTGTTTGTGCAGCTTTTCAGCTGACCAGTAAGTATTATGTGCCATTCATGCTGCTGATTTGACTTTCCACCCAACTTTGTCAATGAAGCAGTGAAGGAGGAGTGCAGGAGGGCTGTTAATTGAATGTCTCCCAGAAGATTAGACCAAAGTGAATCCAGGTCCACATCCAAGTTCCTGATCCTAAAATGATCCTGATGGCTGAAAAGGAAGCTAAGTTGGGAAAATCCAACCCTCTACAGAGTTTCACTTCCCTTTGCTCCCTTCATGTACAGGCTGTGTCCTCTGGTTCAACTTTTTTGGAAAACATTTTAATATGAACTAAGAAACTGTGGATGCTGGAAATATGAAACAAAAACAGAGAATTCTGGAGAAACTCAGCTGGTCTAGTAATATCTATGGAGAGAGAAACAGAGTTAACATTTTGACTTCAGTGACCTTTCTTCAGAATTTCTGTTTTTATTTGTGAATGAACTTTTTATTGTCTATATTGTCCACTTTTCAACCTTCTACTTTCCAATTAGAACATGCCTAATTTCCATGATCGCTCAACACTGTCCAACTCCTACACCTCTTCGCCCATTCTGGTTTCTCACATATCTATTCTTTCAACATCTGAAATGCCTTTTTTAATACTTCAGTAATTAGAACCATAATGCTGCCATACCAAAAATACCTACAATGGTAGAATCACTTCATTATTTACTCAATATTGACCATTTCTACATCTGATTTTCTAAGAACTCCCTGATCTCTGTCATGTTCCATGTTCTTCTTTCTGTTTAAATAATGGATCCTTCCTGAGCTTCTGTCCCCACAAAAAACACTTTATATTTTTCCAGATATAATTTCATTTGCCACCTGCCTGTTCAATCCGCAAATACATTCACATTCTTCCAGTCACTTAACCAGTCAATCACTGGGGCTACTAAATATCTTACAATTTTCTCCATCCACTGAAGGGTTACAGTGGGTAACAGAAGTTCTATTGCACTGATTATTTGGAAGACTAAATGGAATAAGTTAGGAGACGTGGCTTGAGTGAACAATGCATTTGTAACCATGTTTCCCCTGTGAACTGCTGTCATTTTCTTTTCTGGTTTTGCAGATTTAGCCTATGGGCTTTTTGCTTCAGGACAGGGTTAAAGCAATGTTTGTGCCGCTTCATTCCAATTAGGCTGTGATCTTTCATTTATTCATTCACATGTTCACATTGAGCTACAACAGGAGCATGTATTTAATATACATCCCTTTATTATTTACAAAAAATAATCTTTTAAAAGTTCAGCTTGTGAAAATCAGTTTAAAATATATTTCAAGCATAACACTGCTGTGGAATCCATGGGTACTTGGGTACCAATTTTCAAAAAAATTCTTCAGAGAAAAATAAAAATACAAAAATTGGCCATCCTGTACAGCAAAAATAAAACTGATATTTACAACAAACAGTAGGAAGTAAGGGGAAAGTATCTTCTTGCCAACAAATTTACTCCAAAGAACTTAATACCCACAAATGACTTTTCCTCTCAGTCTTGTGTTAGTTATCCTTTAACTTGATACAAGGCAGCAAAGTCCAAAGAATCTTCGTTTCCTCCTTCTCACTAGTGGATATGGAGTCAGATTGAGGAGGCTGCTATCATCTGCGCAGGAAAAAGAGAACTGGTCTTTCAATCTAGTCTTCGTTACCATTCACAGATAATAATTCTGATTGTAAAATAAATTAGCCAATACTCAGTTTATTTTTAATTCACTGGCAGAGTTCTCATCCATTATTTGTTTGCAGATGAGAATGCTGGAAAAGCAAAAGGCTTCCACTGTACAGCTCAGCAAACTGGGAACTGTTCTCAATAAACAACAGGGAGAGATCACAACCAATCCATATAAATCCATAAGGAATACCCAATGTATTAATTAGTTCATTTGACAATTGCTGCAATTGAAGCAATTAGAAACAAAATATATGGAATTAATTCACCTTAAGATGGACTATAGTGAAATAAAATTAACCACAATATGACAACAATAATAACACATTTATACAGCACCTTTAATAGAATCATGTTCTAATTGCTTTGCGATAAAGTGTGTACAAAGCAAAGGAGTTGATGACTGCCTCAACACTGTCAAAGCATTCCAAAAAAACCTCTTGAAGATAAAATGTTGACAGCATTGATTCACTGTTTGCAGATGGATAAAATACAAAGACATTGTAGATGGACAACCACACCTGTAAACGTTAAACGCAGAAGCAGTATTGACTCAGTGGCAAGGACTCAAGAAACAAGCAAGCTATGCAGCAAGTATGATTGCTGTACCCATCACAAATATGGGTGATTTATAAACTGCGTGTGGTAACAAAGGACACTGGATCTGCCCATGCAAGAAATCGGATTCCAAAAATGCAGCCAGAATCTACAGGAGACAATAAACAGGAGACAGATGCAGAAATATGGCAACAGCAGCAAGAAATGTTCCAGAAACCTTCATAATATTAGCTGATACACAAAATTCAAGACAGATCTGAGACAACAGATCTGAACAATTTCCAACCAGAGAAAGAACAGGTTTTCCATTCTGTAATTGCAAAACATTGTATTGATAAAGTCAATCAACTAAAAGCTTTTGCCATACTGACCATCATTTGCCCAAAGAAAACTGGAAAATACACACTCAAAACCATGAATAACATGGGGGCTAGATCAAATATTCAACCAGTCTGAATTCTGAAGAAAATCTATCAGTTACTAGAACTCAACTGTTAAATTAACTCAAACAGCCTCATTGCAATAGGATGTTTCATGAGAAGATACAATACCATCTACCAACAACACCCCTTCTGCACCCAGAAAGTGCAGAGTTCGCATACATGTAGAGCTGGAGCATGACCTGGATGACACAGAACAAAATGCCAACATCCACCATGGGGACCACACCCAGACTGATGTAGTTCAATTATGTAGGTTCAAATCTATCTCAACTGTGATCTAATTCTTCCAACATAGAACATGAAACACTCGCTCTAGTATTCCATATCATAAAATTGATTACGTATCTGTTTGGTAAGCAATTCACTGTGGAAACTGATCACAAACAATTTGATACAAACCACTGATAAGTACACCAACTAGTCTACAATGATCGCTGGTAAAAGTACAGGGATTATGATTTTGAAATCTGCTTCAAACGAGTATCAAAATGGTCACCTCAGACACACTGAATAAATTTCCAAACCTGAACAAGAATGTCAACACTGCATTGGATCTACTAGCCCAGAGTATGGACATTGTGGGTGAAGATGTGCTCACAATTTACCTATTGCATTTTTTTCAATGTAAATATGATCAACTGCAATAGGAAACAGCTAGCAACGCACACCTGAAAGCATTGTATAAAGCTATATTGAAGGGTGGCCCATCACGCAAAAAGGGGTGAGGCTAAGCACCTCATATTCTGCCTTAGGAGCCTACAACCCAATGGTCTCAATGTGGACTTTACTAGCTTCAAAATCTCCTCAACCCCGGCCTCATCCCATGACCTACCCTCCCTCTCATCCCCGCCTCCTTGACCTGTCCGTCTTCTCTCCCACCTATCTGTCCTCCCATCTCACTGACCAACTCCCACTGTCTACCTGCACTCACCTATCACCATCCCACCTACCTTCCCCAGCCCCACCCCTCCTCTCTCTATTTATTTCAGAGCTCCCTACCCTGTCCCCCATTTCTGAAGAAGGGTCCCGACCTGAAACGTCAGTTTTCCTGCTTCTCTGAAGCTGCCTGGCCTGCTGTGTTCCTCCAGCTCCACACTGTGTTATTTTTGACTCCAGCATCGGCAGTTCTTACTATCTCAGAGATGCTCAGAGGATCCTTTATTTTTAATCATCAAAGGTTTAAAAAGATTAAGTAAGGAGAAACTGTTTCCAATGGCTAAAGAGTTGATAGCGAGAATGTATACATTTAAGATTATTGACTAGGAAATCAGAGCTTTCTTTAATGTAATGAATGGTTGCTTTTGAGAATGCATTTCCTGAAAGGGTGAAAACACACTCAAACAAATGGCTTCAAAATAGAATTGGCTTAATGCTCAAATGAGAAAATACAAGTGCAAGGATGCTAGAATAACGAAAGGGTTCTTCCAGAAAGCAGGCATAAACTAAATGGGCTGAATGCTGTCCTATTCTATGATTGTTAATTAGAGGTGGCTATATTTTCTTTATGGGAGATGACCAATGCCTGACACTTGCATGGCACAGATATTTTACTTGCTACTGAGTAAGCCAAGCCTGAACGTTGTCCAGGTCTTGCTGCATGTGGGCACAGATTGCTTCAGTATCTGAGAAAACATGAATGGTGCTGAACATTAATGATTGCACGATGAGCATTCCCACATCCAACCTGATAGTGGATGATAGGTCATTGGTGAAGCAGTTGAAAATGTTGGGCTAGGTCACTAATCTGAAGAACTCCTGCACCGATGTTCTGGAGCTGGGATGATACACTTCCAAAATCACATGTCTTCCTTTAAGAGAGGTATGAGCTCAATCATGGAGAGTTTTCCCCTGAATGCCATTGATTCCACTTTTAGCAGGGCTCCTTGATGCCATACTTGGTCAAATACAGGCTCGATGTCAAAAGGTTCACCTCTTGAGTTCAGCTGTTTTGTGCATGTTTGGCCCAAGGCTATAATGAAGTCCATTATGGCTGATATTTACATTAAGCAGTTCTTAATCATGTCACAAGTCAGGCTGCTCACGTGAAAACAGGAAATCTGCTGTTTTATTCTTTCTTTACCAAAACCACCCTGTGGCAAAAAAGTTATAAGTATCACAGTTGTCTGTAGTCCAGTCACCAAGGAACTAATTTTGGGAATATGCAAACTATTTGCCTTAAACAGGATGAATAAAGATTGATACTTGCCTTGGTTCTTTAGCGGTAAAGGCATAGTCTCCCTGAGTTTGCTTAGAAGATTTTTCATTTCTCGTATGTCTCTGTGAAAACAAAATATATAACTTATAAAAGAAATGGAACAACATAATTCTTGTGGAGATGTTTACTAACCTTTCAGTATTTTCTATATCTGTGGAAACATGCCAAGAATATGGCTGAAGATCTTGAAGAGGTGAAGTTGGTGGATCTTCTAAAATTGGAGCTTCAGAACTCTCTTCCTGTTTGCTGTCTATCATTTTGGTAGCTACCAAGGCGTCTGCCCCTTTAAAATTGAAAGAAAGAAAAGAAACAACTTTAGTAATTATAGCTGATAGCCACTGGGCAGAATCTTACAAGAGTCTGAACGATGTGGGCAATGGTGAGATACGTGGCAGAACTGAATGAGTAAAGTGTTGAGGTTCATCTTAACATCAGGAGCAACTCATACTATCTTTCATATTTTTCACAAGCTATGTAGGAAGTTTCATGCTGGCAGCAGAGAGTTACCAATTGAAGGAGATTATTGCTTGTTACACACCTTATTGAAAGCCTAAGTTGTCTTATTAATTTTCAATTTTCTATCTTACCAAACTCATCAAACAGCTATACATCAAGAAAACCCAACATGGAAACCAAAGCAAATTCAGCTTGCTGCTTGCTCCATTCAACCTTCAACTGGACATCAAGCACCAATATGTCAGAACATGCTCCATGGGCACTGGCCCCACTCACACGTCAACAGACATTAGTACGTGATAAGTCATTTTTCCCTTCACAGATGCTGCCAGACCTGCTGAGCTTTTCCAGCAACTTTGTTTTTGTTCCTGATTTATAGCATCCACAGTCCTTTTGGTTTTTATTAGTATGTGATATGTGTCAGCCTCTAGCAATCCTCATGGCACATCTCTGATCCACGTACAGGTCGTTTTTGCACTTCAGTGCAGCACCTTGAGTTGCACCAGCAACAATCAGTGTAATCCTGCAGAAAGGATACTGTGTGTTCGGGGACAAGCACCGCAGGTCATGGAGAGGGCCAGACTGAACCTGCTGGCTTTTTCCATGGTGCTTCTAGATGGTAGTGGTCATAGGTTCTAAAGGTGTCATTGAAGGAAACTGAATGAGTTGCTGTAGTGCAAACTGAATGACACAGACCTGCTGACATCGTGTGTTGGTGGTGAAGGGAATGAATGCTGAAGGTGCTGGATGGTGAGTAAATCAAGCAGACTGCTTTATCCTGGATGGTATTGAGCTTCTTAAATGTTGGAATTGAATTAATTTTGGAATGTGAAGAGTATTGGGGTGGAAAGATGGCTCAGTGGCTAGCAGTGCTGCCTCACAGTGCTAGGGACCTGGGTTCAATTCCAGCCTTGGGCAACAGTCTGTGTGGAGTTTGTATGTTCTTTCTGTGTGGGTTTCCTCCCACAGTCCAAACGTATGTCGGTTAAGTGGATTGGCCATGCTAAATGGCTCATAGTGTCCATGATATGCAGGTTAGTTGCACCAGCCTTGAAAAATGCAGGCCTACAAGGATAGGATAGGGGGTAGGTCATGGTGGGTTGCTCTTCAGAGGGTCAGTGTGGACTGATGGGCCAAATGGCCCTTCCACATTGTAGGGATTCTATGATTGTATTGAACCACAGTGCTTGTGCCTTGTGCGATGGTGAGTAGACATTGGGAGATAGGCAGTCAGTTACACAGCAGAATACCTAGCCATTGATCTATTCTTGTAACCACTGTGTTTATATGCCAGGTCCAGTCAGTTTCTGGTCAATGGTAACCAATTAGGACATGGATAGTGAGGGAAATCATCAATAATAATGCCAATGAATATCAATGGGACGCGATTTGATCCCTTTTTGTTTAAGATGGTTATTGCTTGGCAATGCTGCAGCACAAATGTTACTTACCACTTATCAGACTGAGTCTGAATGTTGTCCTGGTTATGCTGATACCGGTTCTATTATCTGAGAAATAATAATTTAAAAAAAATAAATTCATGGAATTTGCACATTGCAGGCTGGGTCAGCATTAATTGCATGTCATGTCTCTTATTGCCTTCAAGAAAGTGCTGGTGAGCTGCCTTTTTTAAACCACTGCTCTCCATGTGCTGCAGGTAGATCCAAAATGTCATTAGGGAGAAAATTCCAGGATTTTGACCCAGCAACACTGAAGGAATAGCAATATATGTCTAAGTGAGGATGGCATGTGGCTTGGAGGGGAATTTGCAGCCACGTAGCCACTGCCCTTGTCCTTCTAGATGGAAATGGTCGTGGGTTTGGAAGATGATGTCGAAGGAGCCTTGGAAAATTTCTACAGTGCATCTTGTAAATGGTACACACTGCTGTTACTGAGCATTTACGGTGGAGGAATGGATATTTGTGAATATGGTGCCAATTAATTGGACTGTTTCGTCCTGGATGGTATTAACCTTCTTTAATGTTGTTGGAGCTGCACCCATCCAGGCAAGTGGGGTGTATTCCACCACACTCCCAAGTTGTGCCTTGTAGATGGTGGACTGGCTTTGGTGAGTCAGAAGGCGAGTTACTTGTTGCACAATTCCTAGCCTCTGACCTGCCCTTGTAGTAATTATATAGTGAGTCCAGCTGAGCTTCTGGTCAATGGTAACTCCCAGGTTGTTGATAATGAGGGATTCAGTGATATCAACACCATTGAATGTCAAGGAATGATGGTTAGATTGTCTCTTATTAGAGATGGTCATTGCCTGACAGTTGTGTGGCGCGAATGTTACTTGCTACTTTTCAGCCCAAACCTGAATATTGTCCGCATCTTGCCGCATTTGGACATGGACTGTTTTGGTATCTGAGGGGATGTGAATGGTGCTGAACATTAAGCAATCATCCCCACCTCTGACCTTATGATTGAGGGAAGGTCATTGATGAAGCACCTGAAGATGTTTGGGTCAAGGACACTACCATAAGGGACTCCTGCAGAGATTTCCTGGAGCTGAGATGATTGATCTCCAACAAACACAACCATCCTCCTATGTGCCAGGTATGAGTCCAAGTGGAGTTTGTCCCCTTGGCTTCCATCTACTCATGTTTTATTCTGGTTCCTTGTTCAAAGAAACAGTGACTACTGGCTGCATTAAACAGTCAGAGAAAGGGGTTAGCATTCTCCGAGGCACTCAGAAATCTTGCTAGTGGGGGAAATGAGATTCTCAAAGAGCTCATGGTGTCACTGTTCAAAGTTTACTTTAAGAGTGAACTTGCTCTGGGCTTGATAATAAAGGGTCAGTTCCATACATGCCAGTGCAAGAGATAAATATTTTATTGGGGAAAACTTGGCTGGTGCAGCAAAATATAACCTTAAAATGAAAAGAAGTATCCAGGAAAGGCTGGAGAAAGCCAGCAGGAAGCAACAGAGATGCCAGTAACCAAGAGTGGTTCGGAAGGCCTGCAGGACTGACAGAACTCAGTAAGAGTCTGAGTGACTCAAGAAAGATCACTTGAATTGAATTGAATTGAGTTGAAGTCATGGAATCATACTGTACAGAAGAGGCCCTTTAGCCCATTGAGTCTACACTGACAAGAATCAATCTAAATCCACAGTAGTCCCACTTTCCAGCACTTGGCTGATAGCCTAATGTCATTTCAAGTGCTCATCCAAGTTCTTTTAAAGGTCGTGAGGATTCCTGCCTCAACTACTTCCCAGCAGAGTTGAGTTTGAGGCGGTGTGGTACTTGGCAGCATTTGGGGTGTCTGCATTGGCAAGGTCCATCGAGGATTCATACTGGTGAGGGTGTTGGCAGAGATGAATTAGCGTCAAAGAATGGCGACTCACATTCCAGTGGCAAGGGAGACTCATGTCTGGCCACCAGGCCCATGGCCCATGATGGAAGACTTAACAACAAGGACTGTAAAGTTGAACAATTTTTCTTTATTTCTTCATTTTTCTGCCTTTATATTCTTTGTTTTCAAATTTTTTCTGTGTTTTAAGATGACGCCAGAGATTGGCGACACTGTATAACACTTTCCATTGTATTTTGTAAAAAGATACATGTGACAATAAATAAATCAAATCAAATTGTATATTCACATGCAAATCATTTATATAAATGTCGAAACTCAGTGGACTCAGCACCAATCCTTGTAGCACACCATTAGACACGGGCCTCCAGTTCGAAAAACAATCTACCACCACCAATTTCTGTCTCCTGCTTTCAATCCAGTTTTGTATCCAGCTGTTCTGCTGTAGATTTCCCTACAAGTAACTCTTCCCAGTCTACTTTGGCAAGACCCTGCCATATTTTTATAAAATCTGCCTTCTCCCAAACCAAAACATTTTTGTGCAGACCATCTTTTGCCTTTTCCATAACAATCTTAAAATATATGTGCTGTTGCCACTATCACTAAAATTCTCTTCCACTGCCATCTCAAACACCTGTCCGGCTTCATTCCCCAGAATTCAGTCCAGCGCCGTACTGTCCCTTGTTGGACCTTCTACGTGCTGATATAAAAAGTTCTCCTGTATACATTTCAAGAAATCTGCCTCCTCTAAACCATTTACACTATGACTATCTGAATTAATGCTGAGTAAGTTGAAATCCCTTAATATAATTACCCTTTCTTTTTTACACACCTCAGTGAATTGGCTGCATATTTGCTCCTCTGTTGCCCGCTGTCTGTTTTCTTTTGGTGGGGGGAAAGGTGTTCTATAATACACTCCAAACAGTATGATCGCCTTCTTTTTCTTCTTAATCTTTACTCACAAATTTTAATTTAAAGATTCTTCCAGGATATTGTCCCTTCTTGCAATAATGACATCTCAACTAATAATACGGCACCACACCTTCTTTGACACCCACTCCTGTTCTGCCTGAAGATGTTATACCCTGGGATGTTGAGTTGTCGGTCCTGCCCCTCCCTCAATCATGTAACTGTGCTGGCAACAATAAGACAATCCCTCATGACAATCCACAGCCTTAACTTATCTGTCTCACATATAATACTCCTGGCCTTAAAGTACAGACCATCCAGCCTCACCTTACTCGTTTGAAACTCAACATGGCTGAACTCTTCTGCCTTGGTTCTTTCACTAAAGCATGCTGTGTCCCTATTGTATTAATGCTTTGTGTTCCCTTCCCCTGCTAGTTTAACCTCCTCTCAACAGCACTTATAAAACCTATGTGCAAAGATGTTTGTCCCTGTCTGATTCAGGTACAGTTGACTCACTTGTATAATTCCCATCTAAAACTCTTCCTCCTGCATCAACTCTTAAGCCACACATTCATCAGTCCTATTCTCCTAATTTGCTATTCACTAG